GAAAACGAACTGTCTGACAGATCGCGCTCATTTTTGGCATAGTAATTAAGGACAGTGCTGCCAAACTACATAAACTTAAAATATCGAAAAATATACAGCGCGCGAATTTTAAATGAGAATTTCCGAAAACTTTTCGGTCTTAATGTATGTTAGGTTAGGTTATACCGGGGGTCCCTGGAGGATCCACTTAGGCCATTGTGTTACCGTATATGTAGGAAAAAGAAAACTTAATGAATTTAGTAAATAAAATTATTGTAAATCATATAATTTATATTATATGTAATATATAATATAAATATATATTTTATAATATATATGTATTATATAATATATTTTTTATATAATATATATATTATATTTTATATAATACATATATTTCATTATTTATTTATTTGTTGCTTTAAAAAACTATAAAACTTAAAAAAAAATTTATTTTTTTATTTATATTTAACGATTTTATTATATAAAATATAAATTCACTAGTATCGTTAAATTGCCGGGTGTTACTACAATCAAATATCGTTTGAAGTTCACAACGGAATCTAACCTTCATTCAATTATTATTATGAAGAGTAATTAATGGTAAAATAATATTTTATCTAAGGACAGCTGTTTCATATGATATTTTTTATATATCAAATTTTTTTAATGTTTAAGAATTGCAGTTAGTTTAATTGGCCCACCAATGAATTAACAACAATCACTGACCGCCAAAGCCTATTTCAGAGACATGATATCTCGTTGATCATACTAAAGAGTATTTGTTTATATCCGCTTGTTAAAGCACTTGTAATTGATTATCTACACCGTCATTTTATGGGTACAAATTTCATATAAAATGCAAGATTGTGTTGTTTTTCTAGAGGAGGGGGGGGGACTTTTACGATAATGTAAAATATGCTCTACTCAACCCTTATCCTCGCTGACACGCGCTTTCCACTGTTTTTTTATCGCCTATTTCAACTTCAACAGTGACTTTCAGTTTTTTATTTGTTTGTTTGTTTTATTGTTTATATACTGAATTGTTTTTTCCGGATAAAGTGTTGCATTTTTGTTCCCAAAGCAAAAAAATACACGTGTGTCACGCGTTTGCCATTTCAGTTTTTGTTTTTTGTTTTTTTTTTTAACAGTGCACTCAGATATGTTACTTGCTCACCTTACTTGCTCAGTTATTGTGGTAAAAACATGCCTTCAAAATATAAGTACCATACATACTTATATTTCTTAAAAGCTACAGGCTATCTTTCGAAAATATGTTCCAAATGAAGTGAATATTCAAAAGTGCTTCGAGTATGTAAAGCATGTCATTTTCATTTTCCTTGTAAAAACGAAGGAAATAATTGGCAAAGTGGCTGATATGAAGTATGCAAATTCAACGCTAAGTATATAGTACGAGAATAAAAGATATTATGTGTTTGAACAAACTTATATGCCTGCAAAAATTGAGCATTATGTGCAAGAAAAACAAAATTTGCCTGCGCTTTTTATATAAAATTTTTTTAACACAATGCATTTTTTTTAATATTTTCCCCTTTAAAAAAATCTTAATGTGCCGATTTTGGGCATGAACAAACACATTTTGTTTGTTTCCCTCGGCACTGTTTGTTGAGGCTATTTATTATAAATTTTTTTAACTGATTTAAGAAATTTGCACTGACAAGGATTAAATTATTTTGATATATATTGCATTATGTTTTTGTTTACTCATCATTAATTTCATTATTTGTGTGGCATATTTTCGGTATAAATTTAACGCTTATCAGTTTTAGTTAAATATGTACCAAAAACCTCATTTTCTTCATTCGAATACAATTTTCTTTTGGCTGTTCATATGCGTACACAATGTATAGAATACAATATTATAACATTTACAATTTAGAATATGAGCAGTAATGAAACGTGCCAGAGTCATAATTTTCGTCTTCAGACGCATAAATTCATATGTAAATTTATGTTCTCAAGTGTTTATATTTTAATTTAAAAACGAAGCTGGCCGATCACAGCTTGAAACATTTAAAATACGCACTCTTCTTCCTTATCACTCTTAATTGAAGTGAACCCTTAAATAAATATTATGTAAAATCTCTGATTAATGTACGTGACAAACAACGGATTAGAATATATATTTTTTTCTTTTTCTTTACGGTTTTGAATTGATGTTGTTGTGGTTGTGGCATTAGTGAAAATATATAAACATTTAAATCGGTTCAAGTACAAAACATTTTTGTAAAATATTTTTTTATTTATGCAACATATTTTTATTTTCTCTTTCTGCTACTAATTTTGAGCAACTCATCACTGTCCAGTTTAAAATCCATAATAACAATATAAAATGTTGATATCAGTATTTAATTGTACTGTCATGTCATGCGTACATTGAAAGATAAATTGTAGAATTATAATTATATACATATGAAATTAAAGTTTGCTTTTGGTATACATATATTTAAAAAACCGTTTTAGGGTCCAGTTTTGTTTGTCTCAACAAGATCCATTTTTCTATAAATAAAATAAAAATAACATCTGGTACATATTCTTCGCATATTGAGTAGTGACAAACTAAGTATGACTGTCCAAATCTGGACGGAAATAAGTTAAATTCAACAAATAATTTAAAGCGGTTGCAACACATGTTCATGACCTGGTACTTTTCCAAAAACTACTTTGCATGATATACTACTAGTATGTGCAATATGATGTATATGATCTTACGGTAAATAATATTCAAATCTTTCGCGTCCCTCTTATGTATACGTTTTATATTTTTTTAATAATATGAACTGCAAGTAATATCAAAGGGAGATTTATATAAATATTTTTAAAACAGCTTAACATACTCTTTACTCTATAAAGAAAAAAAACAAAAAATTTATCAAAATGTTTGTAATGCCGTAAAAAAAAACATGGGAGATCTTGTAAACGTTGTATATATGCATTCTTGAACACTTTGACTAGACGAAGTCATTGGGCATTGTCAGTTTGTCTTTTAGTTTATTCTATTAATTTCTGGGCTTATTGAATTAAAATTCGAATTCGACCAAGTTAAATCAACAAATCAATTAGCGCCACTAAAAAATAATTGCCGTTTATAAAGTGAACTACTAGGTCCTTCGTTCTTATAGATAAATTAATATGTGAATGTAATGAGAATCCCGTCAAAAAACGATCTTTAGTAAATATGAAGTTAATACAAATTGCAGATTAGGTTAAGTTGCATTGATTGCGCGTTATGTATTAATCCTGTGGTTATATACACTAGTTGCTAATAGATCTCTTTGAGTGCCTGAAAACAAGAAGTAAGTAAATACGTAATAGTTGGTGATGAACATAACTATCTATGTAAAAAGTAATAAAGCTTTGGCAAAATCGAAACTTATTATAAGTATTCATTTGAATTTTTATATATATATAAAGTATATATATATAAAGTATTCATATAAATTTGTATACTAAAAAAAATTTTTTTTATATACCAAACACCAAATTTAGATTTCACATCAGATCAGATAAAAACAGTTCAATAACAAAAATCAAAACTTATAAATACTGACATTTTAAAATTAACAAAAAAATTTAAATTCATATTCTCTTAACTAAAAGCCTTCAGAAAGTCTTTGTATACATTTCAAAAACAAATTCATTCATATGTCATCTACTTTAATTCCAAAATGAAATCATTTAAAAAAAGTGCAAAATTTGAGATGTATTAATTATCATATCGGATGTTAAAAAATCTGACAGCTTGAAAGCAGATTAAAAATGAAGTTTGTCAATGAAATGTTTATAATGTGCATATTATATTTAATCGATTTAACGGAAAGAAAAAAAATTTGAAATTCTTAAAATTTCATTCTATTCACATTTATTATTATTATTAAGACATAATAAAAAAACAAAAACCTGTGTAATTTTAAATTCTTTGTATAGGGTATTAAAATATCTGCATTTCATATATATATGTATATATTTAAAGCATAACTATGGAACTATATATTTTTTACGCATATATAATGATGCTCCTAATAAGAAATTAATCTCATCGCTTGCCTCTCTTTAAAATTTAGCAAATAGACTTTTCAAGAGTAAGCTTTCACATCTATCGTCATAATACTAAACTGTTATAACTACCTTTTCTTTTATATTTAAAAATTAAATGGTTATTTGACACTGGAGTATATCAGCTTCTCACTCTATAGCAAAATTACAGCATGATTTTGTGTATTGCTCTTATATCTATCGACTTTAATATTATTTTTGATGTTCGACCTTAAATAAAATATATTATTTATATCTATACCTAATACCCCATAAGAACTCTTTAGACCCAAGATGCACGCTATGCAATACTGGAGAAAAGGAAGATGTACACCATTTCCTTAGTAAATGTTCAATTGTGATGGAGTTGTAATGGGTGCACTATTTCGGAAAACCAACGTTAGCCATAAACGAGTCAAGAAGGTTGCACATCAATGGTGAAAACTGGCATATTTTGTCGATGAATGTGAAAATGGCAATTCGTTATAGAGAAAATATTATATTAATTATATTAATATTATAAAATTCAAAAATTCATATTCATCACTTATTATTACGATTATTATTAAAATTTTTTGTTTAAACGATTAATATTATTTTTCTTTTGTAATAACTTGTCTGTATCTACATTATTTCGGTGTGCGGACAGGAAAAAGATAATCGCTAAAAAAGATGAAATTTTGTTTTACACAAATGTTTGTTATATTATAATTTCGATAAGATCGCATTAATTCTTTGCTTTGCTCTCCTTCATCTAAATACCTTCCATTTCCAAGTTGAAACTGAATGAATCATAAACTAAGGCACACGCACATAAGGTGATGTGCTTTATAGTCATTTAGGTTCGGTTTTGAAGCTCTCTGTTCACCTTTAAACGATTATACTGTATTCAAATCGGACTAAATACATTTTTGAATATTATAACTAATTTGTATATTCATTGTTGTTTTATCTTCTCATTTCAGGTTGAATATGAAGACGGTCTTCCACAGTCCATATGTTCACTATGTGCTAGTAAATTTTCTATGATACGCAAATTTCGACTGAAATCTTTAAAGAGTAAGGAAAGCTTAAAATTAAAAAAAAATGAAAAGGAACAACAAATAAAGTTGCAACAAAAAGAAATGCCACTGAATATACCAGCCGAGCTCGATATCAGTAACGATTTAATTAACGATAATTACGGTCAGCCATTATCTGAAGTGGAACTTTTCGAAACAACACCATGGAATTCGTCAGATACATCTTTGATGGATAATGATACCTCTAAAACGGAAGTGGTGGTGGCGGTGAATAATGAATGCTATTTAGATACTTTTAATGTTGTTGAAGGACTGAACAAAGCTTGTCCAAAAGATAACATTGATTTAAGCATTAAGTCAAATATTGATGAAGAATCATTGCTGGACACTCAAAACGTTTACCAAAAGGCTATTGATGCCAAAACATTAGATAATACTTCTGACCAATCAAAAGCAATAACTGAAATTGTAACAACAGCCACCACTTTTGAATCTTCGAAAACTAAGATTAACGAATTTAACATAATGAATGCAATATCACAGGAAAAGCAATGCGTGTCCACATCGGCAGACGCCAATGCAATTAACGTTAATAAAGAAATTAATGACATTGAACAAGAACAAAATGCAAGTATTATAAATAAAGAAACTCAGGTTGATTTTAATGAAATTCAGCAAAACGTAAAGATAGTGAAAAGACATGAAAACACTTTTAAAGCAGAGCATGAAGTAGATGATAATATTGATAAAAAAGATCACAGGTATGATGACAAAAAAAATGCTAAGTCATTGAATAGCATTATCGAATATATGCCTCCAACATCAAATAAAGTTATGACTAATCAATTATCCGAAGAGTTAAGTATACTAAAAACTATACAACATACCACCGAATCAAATATTAATAGAACCTCAACTCAAACAAATCAAAGTGTACATACACTAACCTGCCTAACAAAAGCAGCTCTTAAAGAATACTCCTCACCTGAATGTACTATATCACGTCTTCATTTAAGATGTCGCAGAAAAACTGTACATGAAGAAATTACAAGGGGAACTAAAATGACTAATGAAAAGAGAGCCAGGAGAGGCAGTAAACATCCGTTTGAGGAAACAAATTCTAATTTAGAATCTACCACACGGTTAGAGATACAACGTTCATTGAGCGATTTCTCTAAGCTAGTGCCAATAACTGTGACTGAAACAATAGATAATGAAACCAAAAACAATAATTTTTACGGAAGTTATAATGAATTGAATTTAACCGTGGGAAAGAACTGCAAAAAACCAGCAAAAAGAAAGAGTTGTGAAGTTGGGAAAAAGCGTAATTCGATTAGAGATTGTTATGTGCGCTTACAAAAAATAAAGACGGATAACAAATCAATACTTATTGCTGAAACTGAAACCTGGTCAGAACCCACAACATATTTGAAAAATGAAACTAGTTTAAGAATTAATGAAAATATTGAAATAAAATGTAAAGAAGAATATTTACAGAAAAATATTGTAAATGGTGTTGAAAAACTGAAATTGGATAATAAATCGGACTTAATTGAAGAATGTAGTCCAAGTAAAAAATACAAGTCTATTGAAGATGTTGAAGATAGTGAGTTAGGAGAATGTCCAAAAGAAGTAAATACACATGAGAATAAAATTAATGGCAATAATGAAAAACGTAGTACTGTTAAAACATGTTTTAACAATATGCTAAAACAACATGAAGAACCTGCAGTTCCGCTAAACAAACATGAGTCTAATGCAGTTCCATTAAATCAGCATGAGGAGAACTCAGTTCCAATAAACGAATATAAATTAAATTCAGCTCCGTTAAACAAACATGAGTCAAATTCACTTTCATTTAACGAAATTGAGGCGAATTCAATTCCGTTTAACGAGTATGACGAGAATTTAGTTCGATTAAATAAACATGACGCGAACACAATTATATTAAGCGAATATGATGGACATTCAGTGTCTTTAAAAGGACCTGAGGCTTATTCAATTTCATTAAACGGAAATGAGACAAATTCAGTTCCATTAAATAAACATGATACGAATTTAGTTTCATTAAATGAACAAGGAACGACTTCAGTTCTGTTAGATGAACACGAGTCAAATCTAGTTTCATTGATTAAACAAGATACGAATTCTAATTCATTAAACAAACACGAGTCAAAAATGGTTACATTGAATGAACATGAATCATGTTCAGTGTCTTTAAAACACGAAGAGAATTCAGTTCTATTAAACGAACAACAGTCAAATACAGCACCATTAAAAGAACATCAGGCGAATTCAGTTTCATTAAATGAATATGCGCCAACAATTCCAGTAAACGAACTTGAGGCGAATTTAGTTCCACTAAATGAACATGAGGCGAATTTAGTTCCATTGAATGAACATGAGTCGACTTCACCTCTATTAATAAAACATAAAACAGAATGCATCGAAAAAGAAATACCCGAAGTAGTTAAAAGTAAAAGTAATGTAGAAAGTATACTAATTACTTCTAACGAAATTGTTCTCAATAATAACAACACTGTGGCACAGCCTGTTTCACAAAAAGTTCGTTTAATTCTCCAACGAAAACGGGGAGCTCGATACAAATGTCGTAGTACTGTTGAAGAAGATTCAAAAATATTAAAAGAAACTGTTGTTCGCAGAAGTAGAAGGCAAGAACTCAAAAAGCAAGTGCAAGAAACTGATTTATATGAAGATTTGATACAGCCTAGTGAAGTTGCCGTTGAGAAGTCCATAACCTACACACATGAAGCTAAAAAAAAATTTAATTTAAGTCCGTGTAAAAGTATGGTGGTACCAGCAGAAAGTAGTGTTACAGTAACTCCAATTCACTCACCGAGTAATAAGACATTAGCCTTTGATGAATTATATAAAGAAAATTGTGCGAATGATTCCAATAAAATCCAAAACGTAAATAAAACGCCAAAAGAACTTATTGTAAAAGTACCATTAAGTGTTTTAACAGAAGATTTTCAACGAAGTTGTACAATCAGACATTCAGATAATGATGAATCAGAATCATTTGCGGGAAGCAGAAATTACGTATATCTACATGAAGCTCAATTTAAAAACAGCAAGTCGAATGGCAGCGCTAATGAGAAACCAACGACCACAACAACAGAAAATTTTTGCATAAGTGCTCCAGCAGACTGCTCCGATACTGCTGGAGCACATATTACAACAGAGAAATCAATCAGCAGAGTCCTAAACAATGAATGCCATGTATCCAATGATTCTAATAATTTGTCAGCAAAATCAAATGAATTGCTCTCGCCGCTACCCTGTAGTCCTGGTAATTGCAGTAGCAGTGACGATCTTGAAGTTTCATATCAGAGTAGTATAAGTAATAAAGCAGACATTAATACATCTTCTGCAGATAGTATGGAATCTTTTGATAATGTATCTAGCAATGATGGGTCTTGTGCAATAAAAGCGTCCTCAAAAATTCATGATTTCATTAATGAATTCCAAACGAATTGTATTGATGCGTCTGAAATTGATTCACCTGAGCAATCATTGAGTACACATGTTTTGTATGATTCAAAAGGAGACGAAACTGAAAATGTCACATTTTCAAATTCAATACAACAGGATATACCAACGGCCCTAAGTGACACAAATCTGAATGAAATGCAAGACGTGGAAAACACACTTAATGGCATTTTAAATGAAATGCAAGACCAGCATATATACACACCTGTGTCATCGCATACGGATGACTTCTTCAATCAATCAGTATATTCACCATTATCTGATGCACAAGTTACGCCGGCGCATAGTTCATATGCGAATAGTCCGACCGGTAGTACTGCTGCAGAAACATATGCAGTAAACTCCCAAGCTGTAGAGAGTGTAACAACTCCTAATGAAGAACATAAAAGTTCAAATATTTTTGAAAGCAATTTCCCTACCTATAATGAATGCTTCACCGAAGATAGTACCCAATCGGAGTTAATTGGTTTTCAAAATGATATACCTTGTTTTGAGAATATTGAATTATCATCAAATACAAATACTACAACAAATACACCTGTTCACAATTCGGAAAGGGAATTAGTTTATAAAAATGGATTATATCATTCCGAAAATGGCATTGGAAATATAAGTTTAAACAGTACTGGTGAATTAAATTGCACAGATATTGCCTCAGATGTAGAACAAGATTGTACTACAAGCGCAGAAGCGTTCTCACCTGGTTTGCAAGAAGTAAACACGGGTTTTATTGAAGGTGCAGAAAAAGAATACGTTTTAGATAATACATCTGTACAAGTGAATCAAATATTGAATGAGTTTGACCAACCAGATAAAAACTCAATAGTACATACAAAGGAAGAAGCACAAGAGCAACAAATTGATCATCAACGAATTCCAGAATCTCAAGTGACTCAACAAGTTGAGCAACAGCAGTACCAACAACAGCCACTTCTTCATCAACAACAACCCCAACATTCACAACATTCGCCACAACATCAACCCCAACATTCACAACATTCACCACAACATCAACCCCAACATCAATCCCAACATCAACCTCACCAGCAACTTCAACAGCAACCTCACCAGCAGCTACACCACATACGGCAAATATCGCAACAACAATTTCAACATCAACCATTTCAGAATGTGCAACAATTGCAACCATCGCCGCCAATGTTGCGAATGCAAATGGATAATGTGCCAATATCATCAGCAGATTCTATGGCAGGCATTTGTAAGCCAATGATGACTCAACTAGTTAATAGTGGCATGAACAAAGTATTGATGCCACAGCCTTCACAAACGGAATTAGTTGGGCAAAATTTGCCCAGTAACGCTAAGATACAACTGATTACTTTGTCCAACGGAACAACCGCAGCAATCGCACAAATACCACAAAATACTACACAAAATACGCAATTAAATACAAATGCCTTGAATATTGGAAATGGTAATGCACGTCTTAATCTCTATACAACATTAACTCCGCATGGCATACAATGGGCAGCACCTGCAGTTGCCAACACTATGAATCCACTCGCAAGACAAGCAACTGGCAACAACACAACTACATATTATATCAATGCTAATTTATATCAACACAATTTAATAGCCAGAAACACAATACATAACCCAGTGCATGGTCCACATCTAGCACAAGGTTCACATTTACTACAATCTCCACATCCAGCACTTGCTACTCAACCAACACAACATCCTCTTAGTAGTACTCTAAATGCACCCACAAGTACTGCAACTACAGTCCGTACTCAAGTGCTGTCTGAACGGGAAAAGAGTTCAGTTGATGCGAATGAGAACTACATTGAAGGCATGCAAAATCAGCCTATTATGATTGTAATACCGCACACCAATGCTGCCTCAGGCACAAACTCAACGCAACTATATCCGGTAAATAATGAGCTAAGTACATTAAGATTAGCACCTCAGACGCAACAAACAGTTTTACTACAGACATCACCGCTACGTAATACCAACTCTACACAATTCATAACCACGCCTGTTAACTCACCGTCCTCCAATCACAACAGTCAGAAAACATTGTCCCAACAACAAATGCAACAGCAACAAATGTTACAAGAACAAATAAAAATACAACTGCAACAACAACAAATTCAGCAACAGCAACAGCACCAGCACCAACAACAACAGCAAAAACAAGAACATTTACTAGAACAATCAAAACAACAACGCCAACAAAAAGCACAAAAGCAACAACAACCAAAACAACGTCAAACCAGAAAGAATGCAAAGATGCGTTGCGAGCCACAACAACAACAACAGCAGCAACAACAGCAGCAGCAGCAGCAACAACAAGAAACACAAGTAAAAGAGGAAAGCGAGCAAAAACAGAAAGTTAATCTTACGTGCCGTTTTTGCCATAAGCGTGTAAAATTTACTAATAATCTGGACTACAGCAAGCACATCATCGACACGCATCCCGCTGAAAATCCATTTAATTGTCCCCATTGTCCTATGCATTTTACGCGACGTGCTAAACAGCAACAACATTTGCGGGAAGCGCACGGCTCGAATCGCTTCCAATGCGCTCAGTGTAATGAGAGCTTTTGTGCTCAACGTAAATTAGATTTGCATTTGCAACGTTATCATGCGCCAGAATCATTGCCACAACACCAGCAACAACAGCAGCAGCAACACCAGCAACAACACCAGCAACAACAACAGCAGCAACAACATCTGTATGAACAAACGCAGCAGAATGCAACGTGGCAGCAAGATACCTCAAGTTCACAACAGTCGCTAGTGCACGTGGAAGATGTTCATCTGCATGTCAGTGAAGAGAGTAAAGGTACCTACAATATTTTTGTATCTTGTATCCTTAAATATGAAATTACCGTTTTTGAATATAAAAATAATTGGCAAACTTTTAATTTAGTAATCGATATAATCGACCCTTGATATCAGCACAATTTTGCCACTTTGCTGTTTATTGTAGTTACGATATCTGCTTCAGTAATTGGTTATTGAAATTGTTCCCACGAAGTGACCAGCTGAATGAATTCGGTAGAGGCGAGGATCTTTTTGCTAAAGTCTGCAGAAGACAAAGAAGAGTTTAGCTTAACCACCAACATTACTGCTGGTTATACTTACTTACTTACTGGCATAATTTTAATACGGTTGCATATAGAATGTATATTTCTTATCTTTAATTCGATGACAGTACAGATCTCCTATCAATGATGTGGGCGTACTTTTTTTTGCAAGAATTAAAAGAATGAAGCAACAGAGGCCAGTTATCGTGAGCTTATCTAGCAAACGTTGTAGTGCGATATTTTTTCAATTTATTTTCGTTGTAGTTTTTGCCCTCTGAGGTTGTCATAAAGAAAATACAAAGACTTTTTAGAAATATCGTCACGAAAAAGTGTTTGTTTGGCGATTTGCATTCATAGTGCACTTGCTGCAGATAAAATATTAGCTAAGTAAAGTATTTCCTTCCCTCTTATTTGTATGGTTCGTTCTTCTTAAATGCAAGGCACCGACGTCATTGTTGTTGCATAAAATTTAAAATTCTTTGTTGGTCTCAAGAATAAAAAAGAACCTTTAACACTTGGTTAAAATTAATGGACAGTACTTTGTTCATAATTGAATTCCTTAGTAGTTTTATACTTTTTAATTAGCATATATAACTTATTCACTCTTAACTTTCGTTTTTATCTAACAAATCATTAAGTTTTCATAGGTGCGAACTCGCCTTAATGCCTTTATCATACTATACCGTTCTTTATGGCACTAATTAAAACTTTAGTCCTGTCATTCCATAAATATGGTACATTCTTAACGGAAGTAATGGTTATGAATAATAGAATACTACAATAAAAATTTTATGTAATTTTTTTTGGATATACATATATCCAAATCGTATGATCTTTCAAAATATTTTCTGGATTTAATTGTTCGTATGCTGCAAATACAAACGATTAAACTTAAACCCTGCCGAATAATTTCGCAGAATATATATATTTCTACATAAAGAATTATCAATACAAAGCATAGTTATATCATTTCGATTGATCGTGTTCTGTCTACTGTAAATGATATAAGCTTGCAGAATATATACAAGATAATTCTCCATCAAAAAATATCAATACACAGCATAGTTATATAACAATTACCAAAAACAATTACAAAGACTCCTGTGTCCATTGGAATGTCTACTGTCTACTGTAAATGATATAGGCTTGCAGAATATATACAAGATAATTCTCCATCAAAAAATATCAATACACAGCACAGTTATATAACAATTACGCATAACAATTACAAAGACTCCTGTGTCCATTGGAATGTCATAATTTTCGTATAATGTGTTTGTTTAGTAACCTTATTCATTTTATTTCTTTACGATTTGGCAAATCAGAGAAGATTGTCTTCTCTGACAAATGGGCACGTTCGCGCCTAATTTTTTTTTTATATCCATGAAATATATATTCCTTTTTGAAACTCGTAAGGTACCAGCTCCTTTTTAAAAGTATTGCATAGTTCTTTTCGAAATGTTCCATTGAATAGCATATTGTCTTTCATTGTAGTGCAGATTACATTGAATTTTAGTCAGCACTCCGAGGCACTTCTGACACAAATGCAGTTTTTTCCCACCACTACAGCATTTAGTAATAGTGCCAGTTTTGTTTTAACGTGTTATGCTTCAAGAACCGAACGATGGCTCTAATATTAGTAACTTATAGAGAGATTTCGAAAACACAACAAAAATATTTTTTATTTTACTTTAATTAAATGAATTTTTGGCTATCCAGGCAGCTGCTTCGAGTATTGCCAGCTTGTGGTTTTCCGCGTTTGATTTCCATCACAAACAAAATTCGTTCTAAAAAATTGAGACGTAAACGCGTCCACAGACTTGGATATAATAAAATCAGCTATGATTAAGAAAAATATTAGACGTTATGCTGCCACCAGTTCAATGTTATAGCAGTTTGATGTTGGTTAAACTTCCACTTGGCCACTCTGTTTCATATATGTATATGTATTATATTTATAGCATCATTTATTTTTTACGTCATGCTCTATTACTAGCCTTCTAATAGTAATCTATTTATTTATTTGTAAATTTGACCAACCTATTACTAAACTGCAATACCATAAAAATATTTTAGTAAAATACACACGTTTTACATACACAAGATAACACTCAATGGATCTACTGAGCTCATTTAAATTCAATCAATACTTAGTTTTTGCAAAAACTTGTGCAACTAAAATTCCATTACTAAAAGATTTTCCGGCTATTAAAGTCACAAATATAATAGATTATATGAAAAATAATATTATACAAAGAAAAAAAAACAAAAACAAAAAAAAAAAAGAATGCACTTCCCAAGGGACTCATAATTTTCTGTTGTGATTAGATCGATATAAATGTCGTCTTCTAGTGTAAAATTCCTGAAAGCCAGGACAAGCAAAATATAATGTTTTTTTAGGGTGAAAGACCATTTTTTTTTTTTGCAGTCTTGTGTCCTTTTAGTGTTCGATGTGTTATGTGATGTCATGCTAACATGACTTATAAAAACTTGGAGAAGCGTGAAAACATTTTAACGCATGTTTTACGCCAATGTTAAATGCCTTATTAATGAGTTCAAAGTTGCGATGTAAAGGAAGGAAATACAATATATTTGGTTTTAACCCTTTAAATCAAAAATCACAGCCAATTGTCAAATAATTTCATAGTAGATTACAAATTTGTTACCCTTTTTTATAGTTTTTTACGCAATATAGGCTGTCATAATAATAGAGCTTATTATATTCAATTTGAAATGAATATTGGTTATTATAATCAATGATATGTTTAACTCCTCCACACACTAAGTAAACAATAGGTTTAAATAATATTGATTTATTTCTTTGGATTATGAAATCTATTGTTTATCATTTAAATATATTTAATTTTGTTGTTGTAACCCGATGGAACCTGTTTGTGAAGTCCTTTTAAGAGGCGTCCAAGGGCACTTGGTCGTCGTTGACACCGAGGCTCTGGGATGTAGACCCAGCCATTCTTGGGACAATTCAATTTTGTATTATACTTTGTTGTTGTTGTTGTTGTTTTTGTAGCTCACATATATGTGCTTGTTTAATTGATGTTGATATATATTGTTAGTAGTGATAATGGATTACGGGGTAGGTAGGATACCGGAACCAGTCATTGAGTTCAATGACCAAGTGGCCTTTAGCACTTTAAAAGGGACACTTTGTAGTCGATTATATTGATGTATTAAATCAATTTGTTGTTATTTATATATAGGAAAATATGTAAAAGATATATATAAATCTTAATATATACATAATTTGTAATAATATATGTATATAAGTATTTATGTTAATATATGTAGAAAAATATTTATATAGAAAAATATATATATAGAAAAATATATATATATAGAAAAAAATATATATATAGAAAAATATATATATAGAAAAATATATATATAGAAAAATATATATGTAGAAAAATGTATACAGTCAAAATTCCATAACTCGAATTATCATTTTGCAAAGAAAAAATTTCGACTTATGGAGACTTCGAGTTAAAGAATTTTTTTGTAATTATATGTAATTTGCTTTCTAAACCCTGTTGCACTCTAGTTAGTTCGAGTTATAGAAAATTCGAGTTGTAGAAGTTCGAATTATGTAAATTTGACTGTATATAGAAAAATATGTATATTAATAAATATATGTAAATATATAAATATTTACACGTATATGTATATGATGTATATGTATATGATGTATATGTATATGATGTATATGTATATGATGTATATGTATGTGATGTATGTATGTGACATCATATAGATGTATATGTATATGAATATGTATATGTATATATAGATATAGATGTATATGTAGATGCTTATGCATATATATATGTATATACATATGTAGTTGTATATAAATACAAATTTTTCATAAACAATGGTGTTGTAAAGTAATAATATTCTTTTTGTTTTGATAGATGTTAATTTGTCTTTGAAAACTAACGATCAAATAGCTATAAATACTTCGTCCAGTTCAAAACCTCAACAGCAACTTATACTTTGCTGTCCAGACTGCGATGAAAGTAAGTCTTAGCTTTTGTTTAAAAAAAAACAGATTTATTAACTATTTTTTTTAATTAATAATAATTTCTTTTTTTTTCGTTTAATGTAGCTTCAGATAATCATAATGCCAATCATCAATGCCAAAATACACAAACAACTCAAACAATGCATTTGACAATGCCCTCACCTGAACAAACCGAACCGGATTCTACGTCTAATACTCTGCGACAATATCGTAAACGTCGTGCATCTGTGAAGTATTATATCAATGATGATATTTATGCTTCTTCACATGCTGTTAATTCGCCATCTCCATCTGCACCCACCACATCAACAAATTCACCACCGACCTCTTCGGCGAAAAAAGAACAAATGCAAAAAGAACGCATTGTGCGCGGTAGTAATAATTGTATCTACTGCGATGAGCGATTTACTAATGATATAGCGCTGCGAAAACACCATCAACTAGCGCATAGTAATCAGTCTGTATTGCCGCCCATGTGCTCTACATCCAAGCGAGGTTTTCGCATGCGAAACGCTCTACAACGTCATACGGAGAGTCATGACAGTGAAGGGCGTCCGTATGAATGTAATCTCTGCTTAGTAAGTTTTCCACGTCGTTCACAACTAACGCTGCACAAATTAACCGTGCATTTCTTGCAGAAACCTCACGTGTGTAATGAGTGCGGCAAGCAATTCGCCACTGAAAGTGCGCTTAAAACGCACACTAAATTCCATGGAGGTAAGTTTTCAATGGTTTCTTGGTTGTTGGGTTTTAAGTATTGCATTCGTCTCGATTATATTTTTTCCTTTTATTAAATTTTTTTTTTTTGGATTTTAATATAATTACTACTTATTAGTTTGTTTGCATGGTATTGACTTTCTTTTTGTTATTTTTAACTACACATAATATAGTAACGTAGTGTAATCGTAAGTGTAATGAAAGAAATTTGTGTAATAATTGTCACTTGAACCGTTTAACATAATTGTCAGTTAATGTGTGTTGAGGTAGGTTTTGGTAAATGTGTTTGGAGGTCATTACAAAACTCGACTAAATAATCGATAGCGAAATGTGTGAACTAGTGAAATAGTGAATATTAAAATACAATTATATCTACAATAACCATTCATCAAATCACTACAATTACAATTTAATCATAGTTGTCTATAAGTGACCGCCCAAAATTACTGGAATTACTAGTGACAGTATTGAATAACTCTAAAAGCTTTTGGAGTAATTATTAATTTTCCACAAAAAAAAAATTAATCAATATATTTGTATCGTTACCGACGCTTTTTTAGTAATTACAACCACTACTGTCTAAAAATTAATGTTTCAATCTAGAATAATATTTACTTATGCTTAGTAGTGGCAATACAAAACAATATTTTACACTTAGTTCGGATCCACTGGATTCGGAACAATATTTTAGAATATTAATTATTGTATTAATTATACTTCACTAACTGACATTGTCATAGTGAAGGCAAATGAATTACTGATTGAATTAATAATAATATAGGACATAAATTAACATTCTACGAGGGCTGTTCAAAAAGATTTGCATCCATCATACATAGAAAATAATGTCTTTAAATTTTTTGTTGTCTATTTTTTGATATAATCTCTTCTGAACTCGACACACTCTTTTTTTGAACTTTTACCCTTTGAGCCAAACTTTCAACTTCAAAAACAAGAAATAATTACTGAGGGTTAAATCTGGTTAGAAAAAAAAGGGATGACCAAACAATACAAAAGGCAAATCGTGAACTTGAAATATGGCAAATGCTATATGTTTTCACATTTTATTAACAGCTACGAATCTGTCTAAGTCTAAGAAGGCCTTGACATTAGAAATGCTGAAATCTTTATTCGAATTCTGTCGACCTAAATGGGTATGACCTAAATCAACCTTAATAGCAAAATGAAAATTTTTTGACAGCTAGAATTACAAACAAAACTCTTGTGTAAATCTAATGGACTATAATACCGTTTGAAGCGCATTTTTGTGTACGTCGTAAGATTTTGATCGTCCAGAACAGTCTAACTAAGCGAAATTTTACGATATATTTTAAAGACAGCTATATAAACTTTTTTATTGCATATAATGGTAAAGAGTTCCAGTTGACTTTACTTAATTTGGATTAAATTTTTTTCTTTTTTTATATATATTTTTTGTGTATTTTATTTAAACAAAATGTAGAGTTTAAATGAACAACAACAAGAGGTTTTTTAATTAATATTACAAGTAAGTTTACTTATCTAAGATGAGCATATAGATCTGAGCTAGTCATCTCCTTGCTGGTTAAAACACCTCAAAAGGTCATTTACAAATGACCTATTATTTTCTACATTCAATTCAATTAACTACATTGAATTGCTCTTTATTTTCACAATATTTTCAAGTTGGTGCATAATAGAAATTATTTGAAATGATTTTTCCAATAAAAACAACCGATATATAGATTTAAATTATTTAAAATAATTTAGAACAGTAACACTCATTAATGAGATTATTGTCTTGGGTACTTAAAAACTATAATAATGCTAATAAGTAATATTGATATTCATTATAAGTAATGAAAAAATAATGTTGATTATGATTGATCGAATGGCGTAAATAAAGTGATAAAGAAATAAACTATTTGATACATAAATAACTTCAACATTAATGTAGGATCACAGAGTAGTTAATAGGTTGTTATAAGATTATATATATTATATAAAAAATACTGACTTTTAATTAGAAGTAATTAATAGTAATAATTAATAAATATAAACATTAAAAAAATGTTTGTTAAGTAAGTAGTAATGATAATATTGATAATCAAATGCAAATGAGTTGTAAATAAATAACAAAAAAATTATAATTACTATTTAATTAAAATAGCAAACATTTAAAAATGAAGGAATTAATTAAAATTACTACTATAATTATTAAAGTAGAGTTAATACCACAATGGATATTTTTATTAATCTAAAAATAAATTAAATGCAGTTACTAGAATGAAAAAAGTAATGAATACAAAGTACAATTTAATTAATTAAAAATAAATGAAAAAAAAATTAATTACTATTTATTAAAAATTATGTTATTTACTATTAATGAAATTTAAATAAAAATAAAAATTAATTGTTTACGATGGTGAACATGAACGCAGTTTTTTAAAAATATAAAAAAACTATTAATTTTAGCTATTTCATTTCGTACAAACAAAAAGTAATAATCTATTTTATTAATTATATGGATCTTACGCGTTATCGTATCAATATAATTAAATTATATATAAAAACGAAAAATAAAAATCACTGAACAATAAAAATATTTTTCAAATTATAATAAACAATCGGATTAGATAATTCCATCAATTAAATAATAATAATTGTAATAAAAAATTAACAAAGAAACATTATTTAAAAAAAATATTTTTAAACAAATTAAATTAACTAAAATAAAATTAAATTAAATTAATTATTAGCTTCATTACAGTATCATATAGAGGTTATGCTAGTGAAGTTTAGAAAAGTAGTCTACGAAATTGCACCAAATCTTAGCAGTGTAAGCACTGACAATTTAAAAAAAACTTTAACATTATTTATTAATATAATTAAAGTTTAATTTTAATTGCTTTATTATATTTTCATTTAAGCATTCAATTCTTAATTTAACTTATATATATATATATTATAAAAGGAGCACCAGCTAAGGTGATCCAGCAATAAAAACACGAAGAACAAGAAGAAAATACGACGAAAAAAACATATTGGTGAATAAATATACCATTGCGCTTAAAAATTTAGAAGAAAACTTCTGTAAATATTGTTAGTGTTAAAAGAAAATCTTTTAAATTTTGATGGATAATTCTTTCAGTTTTATTAATATAGTTAACAATTTAAAACTTCTCTTATTTCCTATAATCAAAGAAACTTAAAAATAAATGCCGTTTGCCGTTTTTGATTAAAAACATCTATATCTTCCTATGTGATCCCTAGACTCATAACTAATATCTTAAATATATTTATTTTCTATACTAATTGAATTAGAGGAGTGTTTCTATTTATTTTTTCTTAATGATTTCAAATAATAAAAGTCAAACACTGAAAATAATCTTCGATTCTTTAAAACTACAAATTGATATACCAGTTTAGAATGAAGGTATCGCTTTGAAACTTAATTCTAAAATCATAATGGGTTCACTTCTTAGAGAGACGGGTTGTTACATTTATATACTTATTTATGTTGAGTGATATTTTTACATTTCTAAAATTTTCTATTCTAACACCTGAAATTATTAGATATTATTGCTCATAACTTTTTCTGATTCAGAAGATTTAGTTTAAAATAAATTTTTGATGAATAATATTTTTAATCTAAAATAGAACATATATTTAGATTTTTTTTTATTAGTTTCTAAAGAGAAAATTATATGATCTTTACATGTTTATGAGTTTTTTTATTTGTTTCATAAGTTTATAGTTTATTTAGGTGTTTATTTCCCAAGTTTATTTTTATAGTCACCTTTTTTAGTATAGATATTTAGTATCGCTCTGTTGTCATTATAACTTAATTTATTTTAAGCTGTGTTAAATTGTTTTATTAACCATGAAAATTGTATTGTTTATTTTTAAGCTTTCTTGAGAACCAAAATTGAACCACCTACACAACAATTATTATTCATAAAATGAATTTAAATAAAAATAGTCGCGTGTTCATCAAAATGCATAAACACTCCATCCGAATCGATACTTGAGACAGAAACAAATGATCTCTTGCTAATGACGTGCACCCAATCCATATATAATTACAACCGATCTATATACAAAACATTGTATGTTCCTTAACTCACAACACAATGGAAGACGACATCTTTTCACTAAATAAGCTACACAACAATTTTATTTCATAATCCCACAATAATTCAATTTTTAATTAAATAATTATAGCGGATCACTCTAACCACTTAATTTAATTAAATTTCTTTTCCCTTGGTTTGCGATTGGTGTTTCTTCTATGTGTTTGCATTGTATTGAAATTTCAATTTAATACTCGTACATATTCATTGGAAAATATATAAAAAAAATTCTCTTTAAAATTACAGAAAAAAGTAAAGAATGCGAAATTTGTAATCGAAAATTTTTTCGATTAAGAGATTTTCGGATTCATCGACGCATTCATACTGGGGAACGGTTTTATAAATGCGCACTTTGTCCAAGTTCATTCCTTCACTATACGCGATTAAGTGGTAAATCTAAAGATTTAGTTTTTAAGTTTTAACACACTTTTAAAAGTCAAGTCTTCATTTGTGAGTGTTTATAATTTAAAAAAAAAATAAAAATAAAAAATATTTGACAATTTTACTTAAATACAAATCACTTCTATCTAAAATAGAAACTATCCAAACAATAGGCTATATTTCAAGGAAAAATAACACTAATAAAATCTCTCCATACACATACGGAGAAAAAGACAGCCTTCTAAAGATAATATTACTTAGTGAAAGAAGTTGGAGGGAATTGATTTATTAAAAGTTTTAAATAAAGTTAGTAGCTCAGTAAAGATTGATGAAAGCTTAATAACTTAACAGACTTGAGACCTAATGAATCTTATACTTTTCCTTAGGTACATTTTGATTAATTAAAGGATTAACAACATTATTGATTATTTATTTTAATAACATATTAAATAATTTCATATCTAAATTTTTTAAGTATATTTACCTATGATCTTTATGGAAATCTTTTTAAACAATGATATGTAGTTCTATAGCATAATAGAAATTATTAAGTATATATTATTACCTTATTTATTCATTAATTGTAGTTAAAATAATATTTTAGATATAAGTGATGGGTACAAAATCAAAAACAGAGTTATGAATCTTAAAATATTTGATGAAATTAACCAAATAGGATCATTAGATTAATGATATTGGCAATTTAAGGTATTTAAATTGAAATATCTACACTATGAAATGCTTTATAAATAACATAGTCAGGAATTTTAATTTTTATTGATAATATTCCTATATTATAATGTAATCTTAGATATAAAATATACATATAAAATTAAATTATAACAATTATTACAATACCACAATTATTAAAAAGTATTAATAAATTATTTATTAAAATGACAGTTCAAATAGATTTAAATCTATATATGTCCACCAAGTAAACTACTGGCTATATATGTGTGGACTGACAATTCAAGGTAACTTGTATTTTGAGTAATTTCCTAGGAAACTACTTATAACTTAATTTGTCTTATTTAAAGAATAACGATAAAATGTTAAGTATATCTTTGTAAATATGAAGAGATAGCCTCAGGAGAGAGAACAAAAAATTGACTTTTATTTTCAATTTTTAATGCTAACCTCCATAATTTATTTTTAATTTGATTAAGAATAAAGCTTCGTCGTATTAGTGAATGTAAATAAGTTTTATAATTTAGTAATAAAAGAGGCCTCGCAATTCTGATGTCGCCGACATCCAGCATTCCACCACTGAATATATATATATTACACTATAATACTATAATACATAAAATAAAAATTTAATACAAATTAATGAATTGGTCTAATTTTGATATATGTGGAAATAAATATCAGAATGGACTATTCTGTACAAGTGTTTCTGAAAATTAACGTATTAGTTTAATTTTGATAAACATAAGTACAAATAAATATCAGAATGGTCTATTCGGCACAAGTGTTCTATTCTAACTACTTGGGGCCATAGTTCTAACCTTTATTAATAGTTCTGTTATCATTTTTTATTTGAAAACGTTTTATTTAAAGCATTAACTCAGTTAATTATTTTGTTATCTGAAATTAAAATAAAAACTTAATAATGCATCTAAAACTTGTCTTGTGTTATATACCCGTATAAACTGAGAAAACTCATTTTATTTATTAGACAAGGCTTTACCATAAAATGTTAGGTGAAGTCCATTGTAAATTTATATCACATGGGTAACATCATACATTTGCTGTTTTTAATTTGTAGCAAATAATATATATTTATTGTGCATAGATAGCTATGTATAATTAAGTTACTTTAACTTGAGAATATTCTATTTCTCTGCTGTGAAGATGGTTGAAGCAAAGTGTTTTGTTACCAGATGCCAATTGCGGTTTGCTTCAGTTGTTTTATTAATTAGATTTTTTTAATTTTCTTTTAAACTTGCATTGAAGAGGAAATGCCCGCAGTTTGCATACGAAAAAGGTGCGTCCAGCGTCACCTACTCTCTATAGAGCCATGCTACAAAACAGTCGGCTTGTAATTTATTGCTTCATGCGCACGATGAAGCCAAGTATAGTATAGTCAAGCATAACGTTAGTGTACTGACCATCTTGTTCACGTCTCCGTTACCCATCGTTCTTGTCAAATACTTCACGTTTATTGTCTGGCCTGCCTGGGCTGTCATCTGCAAAGTAAGTTCTTGTGACATTCTCAACTGCTGCTATGTTTTGTTTAACTCTTTAAAAAGAATGTCGATTGACATTGAATTGTATTATTTGTACATTAAATGAAATATTATTGAATATTTGGTAAATTAAAATTTTTAAAAACACTTTTTTTTTTAAATTAATAAATAATTAACTTTTGATTTTACACAAAGTTTAGATAAAATTTTTTCTTTTTGGTTTTATTTTTGGTCAAATAATTAAAAGCTAAAAATATAGATAAATGATTGATCTTTACATTTGTTAGTAAATTTTTATTACACCTTTATACAATGCATCTTACCATCTTACCACACCTTTGTTGCACCCTTGCATCTAACATTTACGAAGGCGTCTGTCTGATCGTTTCGTCATTGTATGCATTTCATTCAAATGATTTGATTTAACACAGATGGTAATTTCACTACTCCTACTTGTTTTGGACAGTACAAACAAACCTTGTTCTTACTTAAATCTTCTTTTAATATTTTTACGACTTTGTTGGATAAATTGACCTTAATAAATGCAAATTGTTAAAAAAAGATTTGTATCTATATGGCATCATAACTGCACCTTGTTGTTAGCCAGTTAGTTTACAGCAATCTGTTCTGTAGTTCTGTAGCAACTGAATCATCGAATACACTATCACTGAACATACTAAGAATGCAAGAATGCATGTTAACTTCCCAAAAAAAGGTATTTTATTGTTAGCAAGTCATCAGGCAATAAGTGTCCCCTGACATGTCTTGAGGAAGGACAACTTCTCTTCTGTTTATCAACTATATGGATTTATCTTAAGATCAAATTCAATTGTTGTTTTGTTAAGCTTGTCTTAGCTCTGATGGGCAAATATTCAGCAATAAATCGTGTTTGCCATTGAAATTGAAATTGTTAATATATGAAATCAAATCAAAATACTTTTCGCTATGTCCTTCAGTAAATTGATTTATATAAATTAAAAAAAAAAGACTTCTCTGAGAGACTGCACATTTTTTATTTTTGTAGTAATCAATAGTTTAATAAACTCAATTTTAAATTTATTAATAAATTTAAATACATAAATTTATATTTTATTATTTATAATTTTTTTAATTTGAAACAGATTTATTTTTTTTTGTTCAATATAAGCTTAAATCCAAATTTTTTTATATAACAAATATTATTTAATAATATGAATTTAATTTTAAATTTATTTCTAAATTTTAATGTATGCATTTAATATATTATTTTAATAATATTTAATTAATTTATTTTTTTTTTATAATAATTGGCAACAAATTTATTTTATTTTATTCAATATAATCTAAACTTAAAGTTTTTTATTTAGTAACAAATATTATTCAATAATATGAATTTAATTTTAATTCTATTATTATATTTACATATACAAATTTAATTTATTATTTTAATAATATTTAATTAAATTACTTTTTTTTACAATAATTTGAAACAAATTTATTTTATCTTTTATTTTTTATTTAGTAACAAATATTATTCAATAATATGAATTTATTTTAATTCTCTTATTATACTTAAATATGTAAATTTATATTTTTTTTAAAATAATTTGCAACAAATTTATTTTATTTTAAATAACTTAATTTTAATATAAAAATAGAAATTATTTCTATAAATCAAGATTTAAATTTTTTATTAAATATAATTTTTTAAATAATTTTAATTAATAAAATGTGTCCTTTTTTCTTATTTCCAGCTCACATTAAAACTCATGCTCCACTTGGTATGTACATGGAAGAGACTGGACCAATTTTAAATGACGTACAACAAAAAGAACACATACAACAACAGACACAGTTTGTGTCCACAGCCACAGTAACAAATACAACAAATGAAGCTGAAGTTCAAATTCAAACACAACACCAACAGCACCTTCCCCAAATTATGGAGACAACTGTAACTCCAATACCACCCTATACATCCTAGTATTTTTACGTGATCTATAAATAGACAAAATCATAATCTTTCGCAAATTTTAAAATTAAATTTCAATGCAAACAAAGTTTTTAAAATTAGATATTACAATTACAATTGTAAAATCATGTAAAAACACATTTTAATTTTCTGTACAAATCAATTTAAATTTACCGCAACTAAAACTAACTAATATATATTACTAATATTAGAAATATTTATTAAAATAAAAAAATGTGTTTTTTTTTGTGTTTTAGTTTAATTATATTTTTAAATATTTTGTAGTTATAAGTTAAACATTTGTAAAGGTAGTAAATTTATATAAGATACAGAGTATATATACGACATAAGAATAAGTAAGAATAATACGTTGAACGAAGACTTTAATAATATTTTTAATTAAAAATAAATAGATTAACTAATTATCTAGTGCTTCAGTTTCAGTCTCTTTGAATTTATTTATATTTAAAAAATTCGTTTAGCAAATAAATAAATAAATAAAACAACTCACACTACATGTAATATAAAGAATTCCAAAATTTTGTATTGATTTAAATCAATCTAAGAAAGATATACTCTATTTCCAGTTGCAATGCGAGACAAATACAAAAATCCATCAATCATCTAATATTTATATTTAATATTTATTTTTCTTTTGACATATTACTATATATATAAATATATAAAGCGAATATATTTTTAGACTTAAGAAATTCTTACTATTAAATATTTAAATATCTCATATTTCGGATTGTTAATTATAAAATATATGTTTATAAATATATATGTTTACATATATATTTTGAAGAAGCTTTTAAAGTTTCTATATACATTTATACATTAAGACCGAAAAGTTTTCGGAAATTCTCATTTAAAATTCGCGCGCTGTATATTTTTCGATATTTTAAGTTTATGTAGTTTGGCAGCAATTAAGGACAATTACTATGCCAAAAATGAGCGCGATCTGTCAGACAGTTCGTTTACGGCAGCTGTTGAAACCAGTTCACCTCAGTAGTGCGTTGCGAAAAAAACAATGGAAAAAAATATTGAACAAAGAGTTTGCATCAAATTTTGTGTTTCGAACGAAATTTCGTGTGCAGAATCGTTGCGAATGCTACAAAAGGCTTATGGGGAATCAGTTTTATCGAAAACTCAAGTTTATGAGTGGTACAAGGCCTTTCAGGACGGTCGTACGCCGGTCGAAGACATTTCGCAACGCACTACTGAGGTGAACTGGTTTCAACAGCTGCCGTAAACGAACTGTCTGACAGATCGCGCTCATTTTTGGCATAGTAATTAATGACAGTGCTGCCAAACTACATAAACTTAAAATATCGAAAAATATACAGCGCGCGAATTTTAAATGAGAATTTCCGAAAACTTTTCAGTCTTAATGTAGCTACTTAAATCTCTAAATTGTAATTTATATAGTTTTGTCTGATCAAACTCTCTCCAAAATCAAAATGTAATTATTTTAGGAATATGCATGTTACAAATTCTTTAATACCAATTATATTAATTTAAGTATCTAAAATCAAAAGGCACAATACTGAACTGTGTAACTCAGTAAAATGAAAGCAATAATACAAAAATTATATTATTGTTTGCAAGAAATTGTGAAAAAAAATTTTTTTTTAAAAATGTTTAATTTTAATAATTATAATCTCATTATATTGAAATTTGAAAAGAGATATTAAAATAAAGCAGTTTCAATTAAAATAGTTTGTAAACAAAATATATGAATTATATTGTTGTTTTTTTTCTTTTAGTTTTCCATAAGGATAGTTCTATCCAGAATAGATACCCATTTGAGTGTTATGATTTCTATTTGACAAATTTTTTTGTAGAAACACAAAGTATCAAATGGCAAGTACAAAAAATTTGCATATCTACAATCAACAGATGTACTTGTAACAATAAAACAGGCGACCTGATGTAAAGAAGTTTATCGAGTGTAAAGGAATGAAAGAGTGTAAAAAAAGAAGGCACGTAATTCAACTGAGCCTTAATTCTACCTACAGAGTCATTATTACTTTAGATACAAAACTGAAATACAGCTGGTTTCGATGTGGTTATTGTGGCTAGTAAATCGATGAAACGGATGAATAACTTTGAATTGCGTCAAGAATACAATATTTACCTTAATGGATTCTATTGTAGAAAGCTATTAACTGTTGAATATGTCATTGTATCCTTATGGAATTTTTAAGTAGATGAGCTTATACAATACAGTATAACAATCATTTCAGATTAATAAGTATTTTAGTACGGGCTTAAAAAATTTGCATTTGATAAAGAGCTACAAACACAGCTAGTAACTGTTGTCCATGTAGCTATATAAACAATAAACGAGACAACTTTTAGCTCCAGAGATATCAGACGAAAACCTGCTGTGAACCTCGTAATGAGATAAATATGCTCTCGAAGAAGATATTGTCTATATTCGACCTTACGTATGTTGTATCTATTGCGGTAAGGATCGATATATTGACGATACGTGGAAAAGTGTCAACGTAATTAAAGTGAAAAAAATGCTATACTCATTGTGGCTCCACTTAGGTGTCTAGCTATATGGCACAAAAACAGAAATCAACTTGATTTGATTGCACTACTTTATTAAGAGTAAGTTGGTTTCCGTATGGGGATGGTTAAAAGGAACAAAAATTCTTACTCTATGTTAGACCTTACTGATACTATCTCCATTGTGGTGAAGGTCGATATATTCAAGAAAAGCTCGACCTATTGTTATGTTTATTTATATGGAACAAAAAAATTGTTGACAGTAGCTGATTTTAATCCTGTATTAGAAACATTTTTGTTTCACTCATTTCATTTTTTTTACAGTGGTGGAAAGCATCGAAAGCCACAGTGTGAGACTTGAACCCACTAATACTACTTCTTAGGAATAAGGTACTGTTTTACATCATTACTACTGTTGGTACTACTGTTACCAAGCTCGTTACTAAAATTCGTAACTACCATCAGAATTTATTTGTGAAAAAATTAATTTTATTCTTCAATATTACGTCAACGGCAACACAAGCCTTCTAACGCTTCTCCAAGATGCATAAAATTTAAGGTTTCGGGAATTAAACACACTGCACTAATATATTTCAACGTTATCAATTGTTGAATTTAGCATTGAATTGTTATTGATGTTACAAGTTTAACCACAATATGTACGTTTGGCATCTGAACCATGATTTACTTAGGATGAAAAAAATAGGTAATTACACTACCAACTGCATCGCAAGAGAGCATTTACTTCACGCCACCGACTGCATCGTTTCTGATCAAGAAAGTCAACATATCACTACTAGAGGTCAAGAAATACACTATCGTCGGCATCACTAGTGGTCAACAAATTAAATACCTGACCACGCTTATTGTCATCCAATACCTATTAAAATTTATAAATTAATTTCAAACAAATTTACCAACAATTTTTGTTTATATGGAGTATGCAAAAAGTTTTTTAAAATACAATCATTTAAATAAAGCAACATTTGATAAAGTTGTATTCCATCTAGAGTATAAAAAAGTTCGGCGTTTTAAATATTAGTTTCTAATCGTAGTACCAATCCAAAAACAGCAAAGCAAAAGACATAACAAGTAAGAAGAATAAGGAGCCAACACGTAAGCCCGCATTTCGTTGTATCGCCTGCTTGATCTGTTCGTTAGCGTCTTTGACATTCTCTGTAGTACCAATAACAGCATTGGTAATACGTTCTATATTGTGCTGTTGTAAGGATACCTAGACGATAAACATATGTATTAATAGCGAACAATTTCTATAAGCAACTAATAATTAATGACTTACTTTTTCAGTGAAAATATCCTGCAATTGTGCAATATCGACGACATTTTTCTCTATTTGTTCAACTTCTTCCGCAACACCCTGAAGTTCATGATACAACTGCATATTTTCCTGCTCAAATACTTGCACGTCTTCTGGGCTCAGTTCTTTAGCAGCATTTTCTTCTTCCTCGTCAACTAATTGTTGCGATTTTTGAATATCCTCATCTAAAGCTACTTTTTTAGCACTTGTATTAAGTGTTACACTGCTAGTGGAATCATTGGAATCAGTAGCTGTGGCTTGTGTTGCAGGAAATTGCACATTATTTTCGTCATCGCTATCCCAATTAGGTTCAAAGTCCCAATTATCCTCATCACTCGAAATTACTGCTGCGGCGTTACTTGATTTTATATTTTCCTTTTTGCTTTTACTTTCACCTGAAGGACGTACTGGAATTTTGTTTTTATCAGCAGCCAGTTTTAAAAGGCGGTACGTTTCCAGCTCGTGCTGCACGCGGTACTTCTTTTGCTCCAAATATATTTGCTGTACGTTCCTCAAGTATTCTTCTAGCAACTCTAACACTGCTTCAATGTGAATATTTTCCTGGTGCTTTCGCTTCGCACCTTTCCAGTCGGAACGCATTTTTGCCAGATGTTGGGTATAATACGTTACAAATTTCTCTGACTCACGATCAATCAAATCCCTTTGCTCGTCACTCATATGTGTTGCACTTTTTAAATGCTGCCCGATTCTCATGTAAGCAGATCGATTTTCTAAAAGAACGTTTTTTAATGTGGTTACTTTGTTGCAAACATCTTTGGCTTGCCTGGTGAATTCATCGCGTGGAGCTGACGTCGCCGTTTTTTTCGGTAAAATGCGATTTTTATCCAATTCACCTTTAAGATGAACTTTTACTGCCATAACACCAGCCTTGAATCTTTGGGTTATATCCATATTTAATTTTGTTTACTCAAAGTGTACTTTAATAACAACTTTGCAAAAAAAAACATTTATCGGCACTTTATTGACACATCATTACAAATTTAAAACCAGCTGTTCATGAGTGTTGAACAACGGAGAAAATAAAAACATCATCAATGTATTTGCTTTGTTGACAGTTTGACAGCGGTTGGAAATTCGCAAATAAGTGATTAGTTTCTTGAAGCTTCATATTTCCATTAACAATTTTTATATTATATTACCGACATAAGCAGTAGTCAGTCATATCACAACTATGCAAAATTAAGATAAAAAAAATTATTAAAACCTCAATAACAGTGCTGAATAACAAATCAGTGAATTTCATGGTATGTCATGCATATCGAACCACATCACATATGGTAGAACAAGAAAATGTGGCAAGATATGACCAGGCTCGACTGGACATGGATTGATGGAAAACAAAAAAAAAATTTATGCTCTGTGAAGATATGGACTAATAAGCTGTAACGAATACACACATGTCGATTCCTATCATATAGCAAGATATGATTAGTTTTTACGTGATATAGACATATATTAACAATTAACAATGCTTAATATACGGTTTATAGAAACGTGGGATAACAACCTAGATGGTATATTACTTACCATCTATGTTAAAATAGCAAGGCAAACCATTCATCACGAGATATGGACATCGATATTATGTTTTCAGGATATTAATGTGAAAAAAATTATGTTCATTTAAACAGAATTGGGTCATTACAATATTACCATAATCTGGAACAATATAATTAAGCCATAGAACTGTTGCTGTTAAGTATACTGCAAAAATTCAATTAAACTTAAAAAGATATTGTGTAGGTATAACAATACAAAAATATAATTTGTTTTGAATATTTTGCAAAAAAAAACATATATGTACCTGTCATAAAATATGTTCGCTACATACTATTCTGAATTTTCATTCAAATTTAACTATTGTGAATAAACTTTTATGCTACACTGTAAAACTGTCAAATTACGCGCGTTATTTTGTTCTGCAGTTCATGATTGTTTATAACTTTATATGATTAAATTTTAATAAATATATAATGCAAGCTTTCTTAAAAACTGGTAAAACAACAGACAAATCTCAACAGAGCACGTCCAGTGGTGCGCATACAGGTGAACGCCGTAAGCCACCAGCACCATGGGTTGAAAAATAGTAAGAAATGCATTATTAATACATTATATTTGATTTCCTATTTAAAGTTAAATAAAATTAAGTTTAAGTAGTGATTACACTTTAGCTAAAATTTACATTTTTTCGCCATTTTAGCCGCCCGAAAAGCGTTGATGATGTGGTGGAACAGTCTGAAGTAGTAGCCGTGCTACGCAAGTGCGTTGAGGGCTCAGACTTGCCAAACATGCTTTTATACGGCCCACCAGGTACAGGTAAGACCAGTACAATACTTGCTGCTGCCAGACAAATATTTGGAGACCTATATCGTGAACGTATACTTGAGCTGAATGCCTCTGACGAACGCGGCATTAACGTTGTGCGTACTAAAATTAAGAACTTTGCGCAATTAACAGCTAGTAGCACTCGACCGGATGGACGTCCATGTCCACCTTTTAAAATTATAATACTGGATGAAGCAGATTCAATGACACATGCTGCACAGGCGGCTCTACGTCGTACCATGGAAAAAGAAAGCCGCAGCACACGTTTTTGTCTAGTGTGCAACTATGTATCACGTATAATTGAACCCATAACCTCACGTTGCACCAAATTTCGCTTCAAGTCATTGGGAGCAGAGCAGATTACAGCACGCTTGCGGCATATATGTGAGATAGAAGGCGTTCAAATTGAAGATAGTGCTTATAATTCAATTGTTGATATATCTGGTGGTGATATGCGTAGAGCCATCACTACTTTACAGTCATGCTACCGTCTGAAGGGGGCGTCCAAACCAATATCTACAGAGGACTTGCTTGAAATGTCTGGCATTATACCAGAAAAGTATCTCGTAGACTACTTAGAGGTATGTCGTTCTGGCAATTACGGGAAGCTGGAGGACTTTGTACGTGAAATTGGCTTTGAAGCTTACAGTATTGGTCAAATGCTGGAGCAATTTAATGAGTACGTCTTACGATGTCCAACTTTAACAAACATGCAAAAGGCTTTGATTTGCGATAAACTCGGTGTAAGTTAACTTTAAAAACAATGCCAAGTCACCTTTTAATTTTATATACATTTTTTTACAGGAAAGCTCTTTTCGTCTACAAGATGGCGGTTCAGAATATTTGCAAATTATGGACCTTGGCTGTTCTATTATATTAGCACTTAAGGAAAAGTAACTTGAAATATTTGTTTTTATGTTTATTACATGTTTTTAATATATAATCTTTTAAAATTAAATGAATTCTTATAAATACTTAAAATGTAATCATTAAAGACTTGGTGAAATGAATTATGTTATAAATGGAAAAAGTTTTATTATGGGACCATTTCAAACTCATCTTCTTCACGCTCACGCTTTAAAGGCCCACCGCTGGCCAAGCCACCAATTGTTACCACAGCCGAAGCGCTAGTTGCGGCATCATCAATTTCCATCTTCACTTCAGGTTCAACCTTAAGTTCTTCCTTTTTCTCAATTGGCACACCAGTCTTAGATGTAGTTGTGAACTTAATTACTGGCTTTGGTATTGTAACTACTTGCGTTTTTGGTGGTGCCATAGGTTGGCGTTTTAAACCACCACCGGCACCGGAACCTGAAGCTTTTATTTGTGTTTTAATAGTTGAACGTCCTTCTAATGCAGATTTAGTCATTTTCTTAGGAACACAAGCAGCGCGTACTTTATAGTTACAACCAGACAAACAGTAGCGGTCGGGGGGTAAGCGCAAACCGCAATGTGGCTTAACAGGTGGCAAAGGCATTGAATTGCGAGCTTCAGCTAATTTAGCTAAAATCTAAATAAAAAATATGTAAGTAATGCGTCATCAAATTGTAGATACAAAAATAACTTACATGTCTGGGTGGAGGACTTGTGAATGATTTGTCATTAACCATTTCAACTGCCAAGTTAACATCATCCAAATCAATTGTCTTCTTACGTGCATGATTGGCAAAAGCTTTTGCATCGTCCAGAATGCAAGTAACGTAACCTGTCAAAATTGCGTCTTTTAAGTGCATAACCAGTATCAATAATAATACTTACGATAAGTAAATTCCAACAACTGATTTATGACCCGCGGCTCGTAGTCCTGTATACCGACTTCTTTTAACATAGACATTATTACCTGAGCATCTTTCGGAACATGTTTTACTTGGGTATTTTTTACTCTTTCTACTCCCTTTTCTTTTTCAGCCATATTGGTCAATATCTTCACAACAAACAACTCTTCAAGCTAACGATTGTATACCGACTGTGAAGTGCATGTATATGAAATACAATTCGTAAATCAAGGATTGACAACTGTCAAATGTTAGTGTTGCGAAATATTATAATGTATATTCAACTACAGTTTGACTAGATACGACAGTTTCTTCAAGTAAAAGTGTTGCGCAAAAAATGTTTAATAAATAAAATTTTAAAAAAATGCTTTTATTCTACTCAGACAGAACAAGTAAGCATAAATTTGATTGTTATTTTGCATGTTCTTCTCGTTTCGATGAAGATATGTTTACATTGCAAATTAAGATTTTATCTTAACAGTTTCTAATATTTGGTTTTTTAATGATCTTTAAGAATTAATGGCCTTAATTTATTGAATTATTAAATGAAGCAGTAGCTTATGAAGCTTATAAGCTTATTGTGACTAAATAATAAATTTACTAAATTAAAATTTAATAAAATAAATTTTATTAAAAGTTGTTTTTAAATAAACTATAGCACATAATGCCATAATTATAGTTCTTGTATCTTATGCGGAATATTCTTATATTTTAATTATTAAAACATTCTTTAGGCTTGTGGCATTCTTTAGGCTGAAATTAAGGGACATTTCGAATGCAACTATGCGTAAAATAAATAAGATAAAAGGGATATTTTTTTAAAAATAAATGTCATTGAGTTAAGTTTAATAAAACCGGGAAATATTGTGATAGCAGTGCAAATTTTTAGATTCGAATACATAGAAAAACTGTAACTGTTATTTATTTAAAATATAGTTAAAACAATAGTTCACATACCTGAAATCTACTAAAGCTAATAAAACTACTTAATGCCATCCTTTACAAATGGTGTTTGGAGCATGTAATTTTTAACATTCGATTTGTAAACAAAAAACATATGATTTCCTTAATTTGGGGCAGTAATAACACTTTCGAATTTAAGGAAATTTGACTGTCTGAACATAGTATGACTTTAAAACTGAATTTGTATGGAAAAAAACAATTTAATTTCGTTGAACGAAGATAAAAATAAGATATTTGCGAAATTAAGGTGTGTCTGAACAAAGTATTAGTTTAAAACTTTTTAACAGTTAGAATTCTTCTAAAGACTGGTCAACATTACACTTATTTTCTTATTTAAAGCTAAATAAACATCAGTATTAAGTAACTAGATACTTTTAAGGAACTATTTATTTGTGTACTAAAAACACTTCAAAACATCTTGGTTTAAAACATTTTAACTGCTAGAATTGATTTAATGACGTGTTTACGCTACTTTCTTATTTTTTTTTTATTAAAAACGGCTTACTAAGCATTAGAACAAAGTAACTAAACAATTAAAAAGACTAATTAGTAATTACATATTTATATTTCAAGCCCTTTGTTCCTGGGAGATGAGGGTAAGAGAGAGAGAGAGAGAGAGAGAGAGAGAGAGAGAGAGAGAGAGAGAGAGAGAGAGAGAGGGGAAAGAGAGAGGAGAGAGAAGAGAGAGAGGAGAGGAGAGAGAGAGAGAGAGAGAGAGAGAGAGAGAGAGAGAGAGAGAGAGAGAGAGAGAGAGACAGAGAGAGTATTATATATTTTTCAATTTGCGAATACAAATCTAAATCAATGCGAATACAAATCTAAATCGCCTAGTTCCGTTAAGCATGGCGAATTTCAAACAAAATTTTAAATAATTATATTTTAATGACTAGTTTATTTAAATTAAAATCAATATATAAAATATTTTTGTTTTTATTAACATTAAATAAATTTTTAATATTGTAATACATTGATTTCATGTTTACATATTATAGATTATATAAAACTGATTAATTTACTTATAAAAGAACTTTTATTTATTTCTATATTTATATGTATATATTGTATATAGCTCGAGTTATTGTTTTCTTATTTAGCAATATTACAGCAATATTTGTATATAAAAACTTTGGTAACATTACTATAGTGTTATATTTTTTATTATTATAAATAATTTTTTTAATTTCTATTGTATATGTAAAATTCATTTTTTACTTTATTTTTTTTTTTCATATACATAAATTGTTCCAATTTAGTTTCTTCACAAAATTAATTCAATATTATTATTTCTTTTTATATATAATAAAAACATCGTTTTAAAACCCAATAAAATAATACAAAAAATATTTAACTTATTAACAACTAAAAATAAGGGGGCGTCAATAAATACATTTTAATAGAAACCAAGTAACGAACACTACTACTCAACTCTGTTAAAGTACTACAACAGAATGCATTGGCGGGGCTTTGTTTTCGGTTTCTTCTCAACGGCACGTACAGCTTCCTCGAAAACTGTGTCCAAATGGAGTTTCTTCTTGGCTGAACACTCGACCGAGGTGTGAGCATGTATTTCTTTACGTAGTCTGCGCACTTCCGCAGTTGTGACGAACTTTTCTGAATTTGGCACCCTTAAGTCTAGTTTTGTACCCACTAGAACAACGGGCACATTATTGGAATAGTGACGTATCTCAGGCCACCATTTACTCTTCACGTTTTCAAAGGATGTGCGACTGCTAATGGAATAACAAAGTAAAAAACAATTTGTCTGCAATTAAAAATTAAAAATCAAAAATTAATTATTATTATTATTTTTTTTTTTGCATATTTAACAGATTAAGTCGAACAACTTACATTGGGATAACTTAAGGGTCTCAGTCTTTCGTAATCTTCTTGCCCGGCCGTGTCCCACAATGTCAAGTTGTACTCATTATCATCGACCGTTATATTGCAGGCGTGGTTATCGAAAACTGTTGGAATGTATTCTTCAGGAAATTCGTTTTGTGTGTACGTGATAAGTAGGCAAGTCTTTCCCACCATGCCATCGCCGACTATAGTAATTTTCAGCGGCCTTAAACTCTTCGACATTTTGTTTTTCACTGCAGATAAAGTTTCTCAATTGGAAATCTTGTTTGCGATATCAAAATTCTGCAATTGTACGAGAAAAAAATAAGTAAATACTTTTGCCAGATATTTATGATTACATGTTCATATGTAGTTTGTGTTTGTTTTTGCTTTTTGTTGTTTTTTTTTATTTGTTCCATACACGACTCTGTTTACTTTTAGACGAACACACATGCGCGCCCTTTTTATGGGGCGTCATAAACAACTCGTTTTGCACCATAAACAAAAATATGTCATTAATATCGCAAAAAAAAAAAAAAAAATACCGGAAATGTTACGCGAATTTATAAAATGAAAATTTTAATTGAAGAACAAATTAATTTGTAGTTTTTAGGGTTTCATTGATATTACAGCCCCCCAGTCTAAGTATTCCGGTTGCTATCACTTAGTACAGTCTAAGTATTCCGGTTGCTATCACTTAGTAGAATCATTCCTTATGATATAGAGAATGTGCTTATATTTGAGATAAAACAAGCTTATTAGTATCTACCATAGAAAATGGTAGAGTAGAGTCTTCTACCACTGAGATTGGATAAGATTTAAAAAATACATAGAATTGTTAGATGTTTTTTGACTCCGCAATGTCCTGTAAGTAATGACTTTTGATTGACTTGGCATGAATTCTGTAGTTTTTCTGCAGGCAATTGTATTATCTCAATCAGTTTGAACTGCTTTTTCCAGACATTCTTTAATTTTATGTGTAAAGAAGCTCCATAAAGGACCGCAAAATGGTCTTGACCCAACATAGCATTTGGTTGCCCATTTTCTAGCGACTTTCTCGTTTCCCTCAAATTCACTGTATCCTGGGATCCATATTAAGTGGATCTTGTTCATTTCAACAAGATCTTTAAGAAATTAAAGACATTCCCATATTAGTTTTGAAGTTACTTTGGTGTGCTTAGTGCTAGGAGTGCTAATTTACTACCAGAGAAAATATATATATTTTTCCCCGTGGTGGATTTATCTTTATATTTCTTTAGATATAGTTTAATTGCGTGTACTTCGGTCTCAAAAACCGAATTTTCTTGACTCATACTCTCAAATATGTCCTCTTTTGGTTTAACCCCATAGAACCCTACCTTGACCACTTACTTCATTGCGTAAACTATAAAAGTCAAAATCAGGGTACAATCCGTATAGTTTTCAATAGACTCTTAGCAACAAAAAGTTAGAATATCAAAATTTACATCCGATCCGATTATTAACATAACTCTACAGCCTTAGGTTCCGATTTCTACAGGCACATACGATCCCTAACAGAACTTTACAGTGTAAGTTTTAACATTTGCATAAAGACTTATAAAATCATTTAAAACAGTTTTAGACATAGTTCATACAATCAACAGAGAGAATTTTAAAATATAAAACTGATTTCCAGAAGCCAAACGGATGTTTAAAGGTTTATCAAAATGACAATGAGTGGAAACGATATTAATACACACACTCGACTTCTGTTTGCAGCTTGTAGGGTTAGGTACAAAGTCAACAACTGCACCTATTAGAGATCAATATATTTGGTGAAATGAATGTTGAAAGGTCTGAAAACATCAATCCATCGTGAGGACAGGTTTGATGTGTTGTTTTTTCAAATTCTAAAGATTGCTTAAGATAACTGGATAATAAGATTAGGATAATAAAAATGCACTCTCTTTCTTCCAATACTATACCTCATTTAGACTAATATATCTGCAATTACTAGGCTCAATCAATTACACTCCTTTGGTAAATTTTTTTTTTTGAGATAATTGAGATTGAGATAAAAAGGGCAAGTGTGACTGGATAGGCCATATCCCTCTACGCAGACTAATCAGTGACATCACAAGAATAGCGATCGAGTGGAACTTCATAGGTAGCCGAAGAAGGAATAGGCCTGCGCATACCTAGAGAAGACGAACGGATACAAAACTGTCACGTATGTGGAAAAGTTGGAGAGAATTGAAGTTATTAGCTAATAACCGTTCTGAATGGAAAATGAGGCCCTATGCTTCTCCTAGAAGTTAAAAGAATTTATATGTACTCGTATTTGGTGAAATTTTATGAACGCCACTGAGATACGAAGTTCTAAGTAATATGCTATGATTAAAATATATAATATATGGTATATATAAAATGGATTCAATAAGAATGAAATATAAATTCATGCATAGATATGTTGTTAAGAAATCGGAATTATAAGGATATATTTAATGGAAGAACGATCTCTCAATAATTAAATACAAATTTCCTCAAAATAGTTGATTGAATTAAATAAATTCGGTATATTCTGTCTAAGTGATATTAATTAAATAAATAATAATATATATATAAAAATATTAAATTTACTTTTATAAAAGCGATAAAAGCGTGCACTCACATTGTCATTTAATAATAACTAATTTATCTGAATTACTTTATATAATATTTGTATGTGACGTACACTGATAAAAATATATTGCAGTTGTTATTTGCGAGGGTAATTGTGACGTTAGATGAAAACAAAATTATTTACCAATTTCTAATATATTGTTAAAAATAATTTTAATACAAATTTCAATAATTAAATACTTATTTTTCTCTCTTTAAATGTAACGATCCCCTAACAATTAAGGGTTTTAATTAATTCATATACGAGAAATTTATGTAGAGTGCGATTACTAATATAATATGAAATATTTGCATAAAAACTTAGGTTTTATATAACTATTATTTTAGTACTAATTTTTTTAGGTATGTACATTAATACATTTTTTTTATTTTGTTAATTGGAATTAGTAAAAGTTGATGATTATTCAGCATGTTTCATACTGGTATTACCCATAAAACTGAGGTTTTTATCGTTAATAAAATAAAACTTAAATGTGATTGTACTTATCTAATCACATACACTTACCTACATAAATATATACTGATTAACTTATATATAAGCAATTATGTATGAATAACGTTGTTTATTATAATTAAAAGAAATATTAAAAAAAAAACAAAATTGCAAACTTAGATCTAAATAAAAGCTAACCTAAAAAGATTAGTAGGCTTCTTCGAACTTTAAGGCAAGTTAATTAATTTAATTATTTGTTTAATTATACAAATAAAAATTAAAAATGATTAAGATCCTGATAATTATTTTGCTTGAAAATTAAACATTTATCAGGTGATATACTTAGATTCGATAATTGTTTTATTTTAATATTAAAAATGTTTTATAAAACGATGAAAAATATTGTAGACAATATTAAAAGCATTGTTATTTTTCTTTTTGTTTGTGTTTTATTTCACTACAGGTAACTCTAGTAGGCATTACTAAAGATTAGACGCTCAGACGAATTGCCAGTAATTGGTGCCATCTGAAACAACAACAGGCCAACATTTAAGGTAAGATAAGTCAAATCTTACCATAATAGACAGACCAAAGGGTAACATGGATTGTAAATATTATGTTTACTCCCAAACTAGTACTTCATATATCAACCACACATACAAGTTGGAAATCCGGTTTCAAAGAACACCAGATTATAGCCCGATAGGAAGCTAGACTCGATAAACAAAAAGGATTACCGAGGTGTTCCAACAGCATTAAAAATATCCAAATCACTAATTGGTACATATAACAATAGGAGATATCAGGATTGTATGGACTTGTCGAAAGAAAAACTTAGATTCAATACAGAATTCTTAACAGGATACTGTAAACTGAAATATCGCCTTAGAAGACTGGGCATATAAACGTATGCAAATAGTAAATTCTCCGAAGAGAATAAAGAGTCATCCACATATGTGCTGTTAGAATGTCCTGTGCTCATGCACATACGGAATAGACACTTGGGAATGTATATCCTTACGGAAGTGTTAATTAAATTCTTTAAAGTAGGTTTCATACTACTCTTTATCGAAGTAACAGAGCTTGGAGACATACTTTAAGCCCAGAAATGGCACAATAGACCCAACGGTCCCAGTGTTACATCCCATATCAATAATAATAGACTGGCCCAATCGCTTAAACACTAAGACTAGTGTGTAAGAAAAAGACACCTGTAATGAGGTAACATACAGTTGTGATTGAAATTTAAAACAAATTTTTATTTTAATATATTGCTTGGACCCTCCCATTAGCTGTGAAACAGAATAACAACAGAATAAGTGTGCTCTACGGGTTATCGTCTTGAGATTATTTTCAGTGACTTGTCGGCATATTGCTCTTTCATAACTTGCCTGTCACTGGCACAGTTGTGCCAAATCTGAACCATGAAACTGATCCAAGCTTATTTTAATTTAGTTTTAAATACGTGAACGCGCAATGGATCAACTTAGTCTATACTTCGTAAATTATACACGATAAGTATCCGAAATTAAAAATTTTAAAATATCGCGGAGGAGTTATCGTTACATCTATTTATTTGTACTGGGTTATCAAGCGAGATTGGACCACGATATGTTACCCGGTGCGTTCACATTTGTTTACACAACCGTTTGTATCAGCCGTTTTTGCAATTATATTTTTGTGTGTTCTGCAATGGCACAACACCATCGTTTTGCAATAGTTTTTGCCAAAAAAAACTCAATTAGTATGATTGATCAAGTGCGGTAGTTACCGGGCAGGCTTGAATGTATGAATTTTTTTCGTTTGATGGTGACCATAAAAGAATAATTGCTAAAAATCATGTTATATAAGCGATTAAATGATCATCGGTACGCAGATTTGTTGTTTTTTTAAAAATAAATTAAGAAACTAAAAATAGTAATAAATTCTGGTGATTGATGATCACTTAATCGCTTGCAGAACATAATTCTTATCGCCTGGGTAACATAATCCTAAAGGAGTTAAGGATCAGTTTGCTAAAAATGTATTAACGATTGGGTCAAGTGCTGACATTGTTGTATTGCAAATAATGAAGCACTTTCCATTTCTAAATTTTATTCTTACTTATTATTTATTTTTTTTAATTTAATTCAACTTTTAACAAAATTGATTTATTTATTAGAACTTTTTACTTCTTTTTTTTTTATTTAGACATAATCTATCGTTTTTATTTAAAGCCTAACAATAA